GCCAATGCTCCGTAAAGCCCCTTTGTGCGTGTGCAAGCGTGTGCGCTCGCATCTTCCAATGGGCTCAATGGCTCCAACTGCGCATGCAAGGGAGTTACCGCTTGCAGGGAGATGGGACCTGCTGCCTCCTCTGTGATTCACCGGTTTGTACCTGCAGCTCTCCTAACGACAAGCACGACCAGAGATTAACAACTGCCACAGCATTCAATAGGCATGGTCCAAAGCACAGCAGCCGGCGGTGCAGGCTGCTTCGCTGGAGGCACCGTTACCGCAGAGCCAAGGAGGATGTTAGCACAGCACATGCTGGGAGCACAGGCCTACACATCTCTTCCCTCAAAAAACCCAGGTCAAGGTGTGCATGGAACAATCTCCCTGGGAAATCATTTTAAAATAAACTTCCCACACAAAGGCATGAGGCCGGGCAGTGGCTGTGTATTCCTCCTGTCCGCAGGATCTGTCCAGTAACGGGTTCCTAAATCCCCTATTGCTCACTGCGTGCTGGCAGCTGTGCTCGCCCTTCGGCAGGGCTGTCGAGTGCTGCAGCAACCCCCTGCCAGAGCAAAAACATTTTTTTCCCCCCATTTCAGTCACTGAACCAGAAAAAGGCCACCCTTTGCTCTGCTCTAGCTCTAAAGCAGCACACCAAGTAGGATGCTGAGGGCTAGCTGGGCACCTCTGCATAGTACAAAATGTACAGCATTTGGTGTATGTTCCTGTTTACGTGGCTGTTCCTGTTGGTTTAAGGCCTAATTGCTGTCTGGCCACATCATAATATCCCATGTCGAGTCACTGAGGCTTATGTGCTGATCTGAGACTCAGGCTGCCTGCGCAGGGGTGGTAGCCAAGCCATGTCCTCCAAACTTTGTAGAGGGAATCAGACGCAGGTTGTGGCCGTATTGGTCTAGAGGCAAAAGGAATCAGGACTTGTGAGAGAGGTGGTATCTTTTATATAGACCAACCCGATTTTTGCAACAACAACAAAAAATTCTTTAAAGAATGAAAATTAAAAGTTTTTAATTAAAAATTTAAAGTTGTTGCAAAAATCTAGTGGATCTAATAAGAGATATCACCTTTACCGTGAGTTCTGGTTCTTAAGTGAGGACTGTGATGCTTAATGGCTCGGTTAAAAGGAAAAATCTTTTGCTCTTCATTCTGTCTTGTCCAAATCAGATGCACGGCTTAGTTGGGGGACTTACGATTTGTGATAAATCCATTCGTTCCAAGACTCCCATCTTTTAAATTCAGACCTGTGTGTAAACCCTAGTGCCTGCCTGGAGCTACATCCACTTCACCCTTGTGCATGCACTTGCCATGATCCTTGAGCTATCTTCTGAGTCTCATGGGATGTAAAATTGGAAAAAAAGGAAAATGGGCCGTCGTTTCATTAAGAATGAAAGAAAGACTGAAGAAAGGAGTTTTGTGGGACCAAATAATGGCACAGCACTATTGTGGACATGCATTTCTGCCCCGCGCATCACTTAAGTGTGGGGGCTGCTGGTCGCTGCATGCTGATTTCACATAGCAGGTCCATCGCTTTCTGAAGCTGCTCCCCATTGCGGGGCAGATTCCCCTTCGTTAAATGATCCTATTCTGTACATACCGTAGGACTGTGTGGCCTTTCTGGTGAGGGTGTTTTCAAGGGTGCTGCTGGGGAATTGAAAGTGGGTAGATAAATAAAGAAGAGCACTTCAGCTAGATAAAAATGGGAGGCCAGATCTTTATCTGCAGTAAACATTTTCAGTCAGGTGCAGTAGATGTGACCCGCCTCGGTTTTCGGTTGCTCTCTCCAAGACACTCCGGAGACTGATTTTCAGAGATGCTGAGAAACCCACAACTCCAGCTAAAGTCACTAGGACCCACAGTTTGAGGGTAACCAAAAAACAAAAGGTACCCAAAAGCAACGGTCCCTTTTGAGAAGTTCGGCTCAAATAGCTCCGAAGTATTTTCTATTTTTTTTCTTTAGTGCTTCTAGGCAATTCGGTCACCAGGTCTTGAACTTCCAAACTCAATGCCCAGAAATAGCCTTGTTTTTGCAGAATAAAACTAGAACTGATCCAGTTCAAAAGCTAGCATGGACATTATTATGTTGTTACCACAAGACTGCCGCAGTCAAGCTCCGAGTTATGATACCGCGAACGCTACAATGCCCAGCCTTCAGACTGCAGATCACTGCAAAATCTGCTGCTGAGGGATAGCCTCTGACACGGTGATGCCAATGGGTATTGACAGCTGTGAACCCGGTATTAATCCAGCTGCCTTTACTTCTGTGTGGCTGTCCATTTGTCTTGCTAATTGATTTCAGGACACCCCTTCCCAAGTTATAAAGCAGCTGCTAAGTGTTTGCTGCACAGAAGTAAGTGCTGGGCATTCAACAGGCTGCTGATCACAATAAGCTGTGCATTTAATTCATTAAGCCACCAGTAATCCCACAAGGCAGGCATTAATATCCCCATTTCCCAGATGGGCAAACTGTCAGGCACAGTGACATTAGTCTACTTGACCGAGGTTTCCCAGTGGCAGAGAAGGGCTTTAAGGAACCCAGGAGGGAAGATTGGATAGGAAAAATGGCCCTTAGTTTCTTGGTACAAAGACACAAAACACATGGCATAAATGGCTGGTGTGCAAATGCAAGGTTGAGTCCTGCCAATGCTTTATGCCTTGAACTCCTGCCAAAATCGAACAGGTGTGTAAGGGAAAGGTGCAGGACATTTCAGCTAATCTTTAGTGACAGAGAAATTTGGGTTAGCGGTGGATCATGGAGGGTTAGGCAGAGATTCCCAGAGCCCAGGTTCCCTGAAAAGGGAAGTGATTTTGACCTTGCATTTCCTACCACCCTGTCCAAAGTCACCAGCTTGCCAAAGACTCTGTTAACCCCAACCAGACTAAATATAAGAGACTAAGAATGAGGAAGACGAGCCGTAGTACAAAAGGTTCCCAAATAAGAGAAATGTCCCTAAATCATGTAAACCTCCGGGGGGCGAAGACAAAAATGGCATCTCAGGAGCATCCTCTCCTCCTTTGCCCATCCCAGTGCACTGGAGAACGGACATAACAACACAGGAGTTGCCATTTCCTGGGTCAGATCATAGGTCCATCTTTCCCAGTCTCCTGTTGCGCAGGGGCAGAGAGTGGGTGCTGCAAGGGAGAGTGAAGTGGGTATGAACAGGGCATTTTCCACATTTCCACTCTCACTTGCAGCCTCTTGCATTTAGGATCAATGAAAGGCTTGGTCTCACTTTCCCTGCACCATGAACAGCCCTTCCCTGCAGCAGTCACTGCTTATGTACGAGGAATTCAAGCCTTCCCCTCCCTTTAGCTTCCCACAGGTGGGAGGGGAGGCAGTGAATTGCCTGGCTCTTTCCAAGGGACTGTCCGTCTTTTAAGGAAGAGATCCAAGCCCAAGAGAGAAGCTGCCAAACCATTTTGACTTGAGTGGCAATTGCACCATCCAAAACCCCTCCCATGGCCAGCAGCCACCTGGCAAATATCCCAAACCTGCCTTAATTAACCAGCCACCCCTCTAGAAACCTCTGATTGTGTGACCCAGGTGCTCAACTCACGTAGGCATTTGCAAAATCCCACTAGATGCACCTAAATACCTTTGGCCACCAATGTTAAGAGACCATCTCCGCGAGAGGTTCGGCATAGTCCTCTTGCAGTCAACAGAGTTAGGCTAATCAACTAGCAGACGAGCTTGCCCTCATTGTTTTGTTCATGACCCGGGTCCTAGAACTACTTTTCAGTTAGGTACAACCTGAGCCTAAGGAGGAGCAGCAATATTTAAAGATGGACCCATGGAGGCACTTACCTCGGTCCGTTCCTTGGCTGGGTTATAGCATAGCCCTTTAACTTCTAGCAGTCATCCAGAGTTGAAAAATCCTTTGCTGGGTGTGTACTTAAGCACATAAGCTCTTCTGGATATGTTTTAATCCTTAAAGCACAGAGAGAGAGTGAAGAAACCCAAATTCTTGGCTGTGTCAGTTGACTGCTGTTAGTGGTTTCCTGTCGACAACAGCTGAATGACAAATCGGACGGGGTTGTTACACTTATAGCAATTAGGGGGTGGTAGAAGAGCCGCGCCGCTTGGTTAAAGCTAATGTTAGATGAGCAGCCACCTCAGCAGAGCTGTTACCCACATGGGCTCCAGAGGCTAAAAGAAGAAAGTGCCCATGTGTAGACGGTGCCCCGCTGCCCTCTGCCTAGCGCTGGCAGGAGATGAAAGGCGCTCTGTTGTGAAACAAGAATGCAAATGAAAATCAGGTCTGGGGCTTTTGTTCTTTCCATCCCAGCCCCATTTGTGACTCTACCCCCAATCCCGCAAGTACATGCTCTCTGGCCAGGAGGAGGGACCAAGTTATTTATAGTGGAAATTTAGCGTTTGAGGTGGTTTCTCTCTGGCCAGTGTAAAAAACAACTAGACATCCTGCCTAACTCAATACCTCCCCCACCTCCCTCCCTATTCAGCTAGGTTATGCTGAATTTCTTTCTCAGTTTCCATCTGAGGCTGTGGTACAGTTTGACTGATGCACCGTTTGAAATAGCTTTCCTGTTCCTCCCCAGACCAGGCTGCATTTCAGCAGCAAGTCAAGAACGAGGATGAAAGTGGGGCAGCTGGGGAGACGGGGAAGAAGGGAGCAAGTGAGAGTAATGTGCCTGCGCCAAACCTCTGAGAAAGATAAAAACAACCTTTTTCTGGGCCTTTTTTTTTTTAAAGCTCAGACTCCTCAAAACCAGGATTTCCAAATGAAAACCTGGTGTGCTTGCTTTCCCTCATAAGACATGTTGATTTTTAAAGCGCTCCCTTTTATGTTTAGCTGAAGCTGGTTTCTACAGTCACTGTGATGCCTTTCAGCTGATTCAAAATAGCATTTGGGGAGCTGGGGGGAAATTTTCTAAAAGTTTGCTCCCATCCCAAGTCAGGAGGGCTGAGAAAAGGAGGCGAGCCTGAGACAGACATCAAGACATCCAAGGCAGTGAGGGTAACTGTCCTTTGGGTCCCGCAACATCCTTCCTGTGCTCTCCTTTGTCTTCTGGTGGTAGACCATCGCAATGTGCTATTTCGAGGTTCCCAAGCCAATGCAGGTTACGGCAGCCCGTCCGCTTTCACGTGATGGCCCTCCTGAGCCTGTTGTGCTTGCATTCGCCAGGCTTTTCTGTCCTTTTGCAGCAGCACAAACTATATGAGACCTATATGGACGCTTGTGCACGTGACACCTCTCCTGGTTCCACTTCTCCTGGGCCCACGTGGCAAAAATTGCCATTAAGCTAGCTAAACAGCATCCACGCTACGGGTCCACGCTGTCGGCTGACGTTACTGTTTTCGAGTCATTTTTTATCGCGGTAATTTAAAACGCCTCCAACGTGTTTTCTTTTTACCTCCTGAATTTCTTCCACGAGGGCTTTGAATTTGTAACATGGATCTACCTTATGCCCGAAAACATGATTTTCACCTGCTTTGCAGCTGTTACACCACCCGGCACTGCTTGGGTTCGCTTGTAAATCCACAGAAATCCGGGGAAGTTCAGCTAATTTCTCCTGCACTGATTTTTCCGGGTGCCAGGTGCTAATCTTGCAAATTTTTACTGATTGTTTCATTGCTTAAATTAGATTCATGAAAAATCAGATTTCCAGAAATACATGTTCTGCCTTTTTACACACACCGAGCTTCTGGCTTTCCTTATCAGCCTCAGCCTCTTGCCATTGAGGCAACATGAGCATGAAGAAGAGGTCCTGGTTTTTTTGTACCCTACCTCGAAGCGTACGGAGGTCTCCCTGCTCTTTGGAGTTGGATATATAGGGCCTGGTAAGCGTTGGGCACTTAGCTCCCTGGTTTTCTTGGCAAGTTAAAGTTGGCTGGCGAGGCTGATATTTAAAGAGCAAGCCCATCTATTCAGAAAGAAAGGGAGCTAGTTAAGGGACTGCCTGGGCAAGTGGCCAGGAAAGGAGCAGTGCAAATAAGGAAATTATTTGTTTCCTTGTAAGTTCTGAGGGACAAAAAACCCAAAAAACTATTGTTTTGGGGGAAGCTAACAACTATGAAACTATGAAGCAAAGATGGAAATCTTTCGTTTTTTCCCATCAAATCCAAAAGGCGGGGAAACAATGAAAAGGTGAATATTTGATTGTCTCTCTTTAAAAAATAAATACATAAATTTGAAGGGGTTTCCCCAATCAAAAAATCCCTTCCAATGGGAAAATTAAAATGCTTGGCTTGAATTGTTTTAAATTTATTGTATTCCTCCCATTTTTTTTGGAATGAACGGCTTGGTGAAATGCAAAAAAAAAAAAATCCTTGTTTCCAAATGTACGTTCTTCATGGAAAAGGTTTCAGCTGAAAAATAGTGCCTAGCTCCCATTATGGCTTTGAGCTCCGTTCCCTGTCTAGCTCCGCCTGGGCCAGGGCTATATGAACAGGAGGGAGCCACTTTGGGTGATGCTGGTACAGCTCCTGGGACACCGCATCCTGGGATGGAGATTGAAAAAACAGTGCCTTCCTAGAGCCTGTCTGAATAACAGCAGTGGATGCAATGGCAGGGATGGCATTGAAGGTGATGGGGAAGGGGAGAGGCAGGGAAGGAAGGTTTGTGTCCCGCTGTGGGTCACCACGCACTTTTCAGTGTCAGATGATTTGAACAAGGAGAGAAAATACCTGCAGCTTCAAGGACTAGCAGGGAAAGGCAAAGCAAAAGCCAATGCAGACAAATTCCAACTAGGAATACAGGGGTGTAGGTTGTTTAAAAAAAAAATACAATTTTCCAACTATTTAAGTTGTTCTAATAACAGATGTCAGATTCACCCAAAGCACCTTGTCTAACTAGGGATATGGCATGAATGTGAACAGCTTGGCGGATGAACAAATCACAAAGGGAAGTGATAGGCTCTGAATCACATCATGACTATCTTTAAGATTTAATTTGGCCAGACTCCAGCTGTTGGACTTGCTGAAGGAAGACAGGATGTCTTCTAGTGAACACGTCCGACCAGATGATTGCCTGGCCTTGAATCAGTTGAAAGGGATCCCTACATACTGGGATGTTGGTTGGTGTGGAAAATCATAGACTCACAGAAAAGTAGGGTTGGAAGGGGCCTCGGGAGGTCACCCAGTCCAGTGTTTCTCAACCCAGGGATCACGACCCAAAAGTGGGTCACCAGAATATATGAAAGCATGGCAAACAAACTTTCAAAAAGCGTGGACCAACCTTAAAAATGGCTTCTTTAAAGGAGACAACCATGGGAAACCATGGCTTTTCCCTCGCAGGCTGGCAGAGCTCCTGGGCCTTCCCTGCCCCACACTCCCTACCCCCATCCTACACACCCTTCCCCTGCCCCACACACTGGGGACTGGGGTGGGGGGCAGCAGGTCGGGAATGAGGGGCACTGGCCATTGATGTTTGCAAATGGGTCCCGGTACCAAAAAGTTTGATCTAGTCCAACCCCCTGCCTGAGGCATCCTCTACAAGTTCTTGTCTAACCTATTCCTAAAGGTACACAGTCAACCCTGCTGCACAGCTGGAAGGCATATTGCCCAAAGACACCAAAACCACCCTAATCTGCCATAGGTAAAGCAGGGACATGAGGACTGTCAGCGATCTGCCATTGCAAGGGTTGTTAAAATGCACTTGCCTCCCCTCCAACCACTGCTGTCTTGTAGCAGGTAAGAGACCATCAGCAGGGCATGTAGGCCCTGGGGAAGTTATGACTGGCCTCCCTCCAGAGCTGCAAAGGAAAGGAGGATCCTCTTCCCTGAGCACCCTCCCTTACACTGGCCTTTATCACTGTGCCATTTGACTGCATTATCATCTCAGTAGAAGCTGCTACTTGGGGGGGGGGGGGGGCAGTCCTCTTAGATGGTCATCTGAGATGGCCAGATGCTTGAGTGGTTAAGTACCTCTGTGGTGCAACAGACAGGAGGATGGGCTTTTCTAGTAAGATGTTACTCAAAGGTTGTGGGTTCAAGTCCTGCTGAAGTTAAAGTGTTTTTCCTGGAAAACTGTTTTAGGCTCAGTGTTAGGAAAAATGACTTTGCAGCTAGAGTGTTCAGACTGTGGAATAAGCTCCCTCCCGAGGTGGTGCAATCGCCTACCCCAGAAATCTTCAAGAGGCGACTGGTCGGATCACCTGAGCCCAGTTGTCTTTCCTGCCTGGTGCAGGGGGCTGGGCCTGATGATCTTCCAAGGTCCCTTACAGTCTATGAATCTTGTCCCTATTGCTTTACCCCTGTGCATCATCATGGAGGACCTGAGGCATGCTAACATCACTGTGAACTGTCTTAGATGGGACACCCCAAGCATACTGCACCCACTCCTTCCTGCTGACAGGCTCCACACCCAGAAATGCACCAGTAAGCCCAATACAGGGCATCTCTTTGGCTTTCTTGAGACCTTGTGCTTGAGAAAGGCTGCTGGGCATGGTCCAGAAGAGGCCTCGTGGACACACTTCTAGCCCTGGAGGGTGCAAGCATGGCGTTGGGGTATGCTCGGGAGCATCCCAGCCTGGAAACACTCTGCCACTGTGGTGTAAACATGCTCCAGGGTCCAGATTTTACCTCCGTTCCACCCTGTTCAAGTCCCTGGAAGTCTATGAATGCATTTCCCTTTGTAATACGCTGTCATCTGACTCTTAAACTGAGTCACAGAAAAGCAGCAAGGAGAAGGAGGACCTGCCTGGCTTTAGCATTAGCAGCTCTTCAGGGGCTTGAGTAAGATGAAACAGAATTGCATGTGGGCACCTAAGTCCACTTCCACACCTAATAGGATTGTTGATGAGAAAGTATGTGCAGATTCAGTGGAGTCTGACAGGGCCATGGCCTGAACGCTTCTGGTATGGCCATTATAGCAGTTGGAAATGAGACCCAGTCCTAAACAACAGCTGTCGCGAAATAACGGGATGTCTAAAGCCAACGCCAAAGGATAGGCTTGCTGCGTGGCATCGCACCACCCGATACGGTAGCGAGCCAAAAAGAAAGACCACAGCAAATGAGAAGACCCCAGACTCCACTGTATGGTCACACAGAAGTAGCTAAATGGCTTAAAGCATGAAAGAGTTTTGTAACCAGCATTGCACCATTGGACATGACAAGACTGAGGTTATGGAAAGAAAGATTATATGCAAGTAAGTGCTCTGAAATGGACCTCAGACCTCGGGATGGCCTTCCCATGGGGCTGGTGTAGACTGGCCAACATGGTGATGCCTGAATCACTTGTGCATACAAACTGGAAGATCAAAAATAAACACGCACAAACATGGGATGCATGGGA